TGCCTTCGGTGAGTAGCCCGAGACACAAACCTTGAAATTCACCACCCTCTCAACTCAAATCAAGCCACCCCCCCCCCCTCGTAGCCTCCTTCAAAGGACTAAACACATAAAAAAAGAACCCCGAAAGGAAATCCTAAACCTTAAACCCTAAACCTTAAACCCTAAACCTTAAACCCTAAACCTTAAACCCTAAACCTTAACCCTAAACCCCAAACCTTAACCTTTATCCCGAAACCCTAAACCTTAACCCTAATCCCGAAACTCTAAACCTTAGCCCTAACGCCTAAACCTTAAACCCAACCTGCAAAGTCCGAACAGCCTTATAAACCCTAAACCCTAAACTCTAAACCTTAAGCTCTAAACCTTAAACCCTAAACCCCTAAACCCTAAACCCCAAAAGTCCGAACAGCCAATGGGGCCTCCTCGTGCGACAAGGGGCCCAGCAGTCGATCCTGCCCTCTTCGAACGATCTGAGACACGAAGGCCTCGTCTTGGCTTCTGGGGTTCAGGGGGTTTAGGGTTTAGGGTTTGGGCAGGGTGGATTACGGTTTAAAAAGGAGGAACAGGGATTAAATAAGGTTTAGAGTTTGCCTTCACCCTCTGGTCAACCTCAAATAAGCTACCTGCTTCAGGACTTATATAAGGAACCGATCAGAAGGAGGCCTAAGAAGCCAGAATTTCTGAAATTTTAGGGCCTAAGGGTGGCATGGACAGATTTCTATAGGAGTTCCCTGTCTTGCAGGGCTGGGGTTGGTTTCTGCCTCAGGTAATGGTTCAGGGCTTCGGGTTTAGGCCCAGGGTTTAGGGTTCAGGCCCAGGGCCTAGGGCTTAGGCCCAGGGTTTAGGGTTTAGGGTTTAGAGCCAGGGCCTAGGGCTTAGGCCCAGGGTTTAGGGTTGAGGGTTTAGGCCCAGGGTTTAGGGTTTAGGGTTTAGGCCCAGGGTTTAGGGTTTAGGCCCAGGGTTTAAGGTCTGCGCCCAGGGTTTAGGGTTTAGGCCCAGCGTGTAGGGTTTAGGGTCTGGGCCCAGGGTTCCGGGCTTAGGCCCAGGGTTTGGGGTTTAGGGTTTGGGCCCAGGGTTTAATAGGGTTTGCGCCCAGGGTTTAGGGCTTAGGGTCAGGGTTTAGGGGATAGGCCCAGGCTTCTCGTGCCAAGGAGCCAGGGGTTCGACCCTCGCCAGAAGCTGTCAAGATGCAGATTTCGCTGCGCACAGACGACGATCGTAGTGCCGTCGACTGGGTGTACAACGACGACTACGGATGTTGCTAGTGTACCTTGCTGAAACTGGCAGTCTCAAAATCCGAGGGATATCCAGATTATGTTCTGCATGGTCTTCATCCTGTGCAGGCTCTGCTACATGCTTTTGCTGATCTCATACTCCTGGTAAACACAACGCTTCAACCAGAAAATTCCCCAAACTCAACACAGAAAAACCCAAAGCATTAAGCCCGAAACCCCAAAAATGAAGTGCCTTAAACCCGAAAGCCGAAACCCTACAGCTTGAAACCTAACGCCCAAAGACTCTAGACTGTGTAGAGCATACGAAACCCGAATTACTAAACGGAACCCTTATAGAGCCCCAAAAGGAACCCTCAAGCCCAAAAGCCTGAACCCCTCAACCCTCAACCCCTAAGCCCCAAAACACAAAAAATCCACAACACGTGATAGACCCTACTAAACCCCTGAACCCTCTAAACCCTAAAACCTGGAAACCCCTAAACCCAAAACGCCGAAGCGACCCGAAACCTGATGATTCTTATTCTTATTACGTTTATTCTACCTACATTGTATTTTTGTTACCTAGTAGTCTCACAAGTAATAGTATTATGTATTCTGTATTCTGATTAATCTTATCAAACTCAAACCACCGAAGCCCCAAAAGACGCCGGATTAACCGCGGGATCTCTGACCCTAAGGGTCCAAAGGGCCCAATAATAAGGTACTTTGGTTGCGGATAGTAGCTGTCTAGGTTCATATTTGGGAGAGTATATGGGTGGTTGTCAAAATTATGGTCCCTTTTTGGGTCCTTATTAGAATACGGCACCTATTATTTAGGGTACCCCACAAAGGGACCATAATTTTGACAACTACCCATATGGTTATTAGGTACTTGAACCCCTGGGGTGAGCGCCTCTGCCGCCTCCCTCTCGTCAATGGCCGGCAAAGTGACCTGGGCTCCCCAGAGACTCCAATATCCCTTAATTAAGGAATATACCTTAAATCATATTAGGGATCCTACTATAATTTAGGGTATATCCCTTAATTAAGGAATAGACCTTACATCATATTCTGGATCCTACTATAATTTAAGGTATATCCCTTAACTAAGGAATAGACCTTAAATCATATTCGGGATCCTACTATAATTTAAGGTATATCCCTTAACTAAGGAATATACCTTGCTAGGATCCGTAATATGATTTGAAGTAACCCTAAACCCTAAACCCCTAGACCCTAAACCCTAAACCCTAAGCCCTAAACCCTAAACCCTAAACCCCAACCCTTATATTCCTCAATTAAGGGATATGGGAGTCACGGGCTCTCTCAGAGGGTTGGCACCTTCAGGGCTTAGGGGTTAGGGTGCAGGATCTTGGGGTTTAGGGTTTAGGGGTTAGGGTTGACGGTGCAGGATTTTAGGGATTTAGGGCTTAAAGTCTAGGCGTTAGGGTTCAGGATTTTGGGGTTTAGGGTCGAAGGTTTAGGGTTTAGAACTTAGGGTGCAGGATTCGGGTTCTAGGGTGTAGGCTTAGTCGATGGTGCTTGTACCTATACGCATAAAGGAAGTTGTATATATATATATATATTTATAAAGAAAGAGAGAGAGCGAGAGAGAGAAAGGGAGAAAGAGACAGAAAGAGAGAGTGAGAGAGGCACATGTATACGCATGTGGGTATATGAATATGTAGTATACAAACATGTACATACATCAATGCCGTACAAATTGACTGGCACCCGGCTCAAATAAATCTATTGCATTCTGGCGGCGTGAGAAATGTAGAGTCTACGGCTATGACAGGCAAGGCATCTCGCGACGTATTGTGTAATGCACACAGTTCTCTTCCGACCGAAGTACACTTTTCTGCGTGCGCGCTTCTAGAATATTACATGTACATGCACATTGCGGACACTGCTGCGATAAGTACTGACTACAAAGCACTAATCGTAGACTTGCCGACATCAGCAGTCAGGCAACAACAACAGCAACAACTGCGAACAACTGGAAATTTCTGCCTTCAGGGAGGATACAGAATGTCACATATGTTGTGCAGCGCTGTAGCGAACTGTCTACAATCAAGCGAGGCCGTCCTAGCATAAGGCATTCGGCTGATCTTACATACGGTTGATGATATAAATCCTGCATTAGCCATAATCAGGAAAATGCCAGAACTCCCATAGTTTAGGGTCCTTAAGGTAATGCAGGATTTATATCATCAACAGTAATTCCATCAGTTTACCCACAGGCATGTTTCGGGTATAACTCGAAGCTCCACTGCGCTGGAAATCTGTATAGGTATAGGCCTTGTGGAACTTTGGGTGAATCGGGGCTTAAACCCGAAGGGTCCATGTACCCAACTCGTATAGACTCTGTCTCCAAAGTACCGAATATAGGGACTACTTTAGTGCCAAAGTATATACTATTTGGGCACATGGGCCCTTAGGGAACGCTGAGGACTTGCAAGACCTACGGCACAGCCTAGTCGGTTTAGGGTTTAGGGTTTAGGGCTAATTACTTGAAGAGTCCTTAACAGAGTACTGCAATGAAGTGGCCCTGGTGTGGGCACACATCCTCTGCTTTTCTCCCGCTCTTTCTCCGAAGGGGCCGCTGTATGGAACAGCATCGTGGCACTTTGCAAAAGGAGCTGGCGCACGGCAGGCTGAGAATCCAGTTCAGGTTTATGGTTTAGGGCTAAAAGTTTAGGGTTTAGTAAACACTCGCGGTACTGGCAGTTGTTGGCATGCAGCTCCATGGGCACAGTGACACTCGGCGGGGAAACCGTCAAATTCAGCCATGCTCCTTGCCGGACTGGCTGACCGCCACGAGTTGAGGAACTTACGAGGAATGAACACTCCTGCATTCGCAGCGCAGAATACTCGGAAGTGCACACATCGCGGATCTACAATACCAAATGATGTCAAATAGGCAAACTGGATGCCTCGATCATACTAGCTGTAAACAAGTAATGTAGACTTTTTACACTTCTGACCACACTTGTGTTTGTAACGGAAACTAGCTACATATGGCCTAAACCCACAACCCCAAACCCTAAAACACCAATAAAGCGAAATCCCTAAAGCCCTACCCTAGAACACCGAAACAGGAAAACCTAAAGTCCTAAAGCGCCCTTCCCTCAGTGACGGCCACATCCATCCGGCTCTTACCCATCTGCGACTCGATTGGGCTCATGGAGAGGCCCAGCGTTTCCAAGAGGCGAAGGTGCCCTTTACTTTAAGAAATATTTCAAGGCATGCCGGGCTTAGGGTTTAGGGGTTTAGGGTTTAGGGTTAGGTGTATACCTGCAAGGCTTCGTGATAAACAAAACTACGGCTGTATGCTTCATACAATTCGAGATAAGGGTACTTACCTAACTTCCTTAAGCCCTACACCCGAAGATTCAGGGGTGTTAGAGTCTCGAGGGCCTGTACCTCCCACTGCGGCAGACTGTCTCTGCAGGAAGGGCCATTCTAAAGAAGAGATAAACAAGTCTTGGCACGTTGCTCCTGGCATCGATTTACGGTTTTGGGTTCAGGTTGCTAACCTCTCTTGGCAGTCACTCTTGACTGTCTGTTGTTATGTTTCTGAATCTGCCTGCAGAATCCAGGCAGTGGGAGTGAGGTGCCACAACAAAATGCACATGTCCCCGGGGGCTGCAAATGAGCGGCAAAGCTGTTCTATGTCCGTGTTTGCATGGAAAACCTTGCCGGCGGGGTGCTTCTGATGTGGGCGGTAGGCACTTGCTCAATCAAAGCAGCCCGAATGAATCTTCACTTGGCGACTTGCCGAACAGTTCGGAGCGGCAGGCCATCGAATGTCCTGGCCGCATGACCACCGCTGAGCCCAGTGACATGCCTTGGCCTTACATGTATGCTTATGCCTAATTGCCCCGACATTAAGACTCTATCCTGCCTAAATCCTAAATACCAAGCAGATGTGAATGCGTGTCTGCCCAGACCCTGAACCTTCAACCCTAAACCCTAAGCCCACCTGGCGGGAAAAACCTGCACCCCAAACGATCACGAACAGTGTGACTTGTTGTGGCTCTGCCCTTTTGCATGTGCCCTTTCTTGAGGTCCGAACCCCCACCCTATAAACGTGTCAGGGATGCTGAAACCCCAGAGAAAACTGCACCCTAAACCCTAAACCCTAAACCAGCCACGGTTTAGGGTTTAGGGTTTAGGGATGCTGCGATATAAAGTTGAGCACTAAACCATGCGAGGGAAACTACCATCCCGCTCAAAAAGCTGAAGCCAGATTCGAAAAGCTGAAAAGACTTGTCAACCCCAAAGACCTAATCCTACACCCTAAGGCCCTAAGTACTCTAGCGAAACCCCCCAACCCCTAAACCCTATGTCGGCTTCGGGATGAGAGCCGGTAACACAGAGACCCATCCTTGCACAGGAAGTCCGATCATCCCAGCGGTCTGACGTAGGTCAACCAGGGGAGAACGGTTTTGGGGGGGGGTGAGGGTTGCCCTAAGGGTCCAAGTACCTTTTAATCATACGGTTTAGGGTTAAGGGTCCAAGTAGCTTATAATCATAATATGGGCAGTTTTCTACATTAGGGTCCCTTTTAGGGTCCTTTTGACAAGGGTGCCGTACTATATTTGGGACAAAAAGGGAAGAGAACTACCCATATACTCTCCCAAATACTCACCTAGATAACTACGATCCGCAACCAAAGTACCTTATTATTGGTTCCTTTGGGCCCTTAGGGTTTAGGGTTCAGGGGTGTACCGTTTTGGGTCCGGAGATTCTGGAGCTTCTGGGGTGTCAAAAGGTTTCGATGTCAGTCTGAGTCTTGGATGTTTCCCAAAGGGTCCAAAGGACCCAATAATAAGATACTTTGGTTGCGGATAGTAGTTTTCTAGGTTAATCTATGGGAGAGTATATGATTATTAGGTACTTGGACCCTTAGGGTTTCTGTTAAGTTAAGTGCCTGCCTATCCTTTGTTCTTGCTGTATCTATCTGTCTGTCCGTCCCTCTGTCTGAGGGTATGTGGAGATGTCCTCTTCCAGCCATGCCCCGCGAATTGTGACTCCCTCTCTCTCTCTCTCTCTCTCCCTCTCTCTCTCTCTCTGTCTCTGTGTTCTTCCTGTATTGTTGCTGCACAGCTTCACGCGTTGCTGATGTTGATTCTGCTGAGCTTGCCTCAACTTCTGCTTCTTCTTCTTCCTCACATTGCCGCTCTGACTTTGCGCGATTCTCGTACGACATCGGATCTGTCGGTGCTGTCGAGGTTGTTGCTCCAGCCTGCTTGCTCCCTCTTGCACAAAAGGATCGTTTTTAAGGCATGTACGTTTCGCTTAGGCCACCGGGTCTCAGAATTCGGTATCCAGGAGGCTCGCAATCGAGGAGAAAACACGAATCTCGAAATGGACACCCAACAAGGATGACTCCACAAGCCCGTACTTCTCTATGCTTGTAGCACCCCTTTACAGATCCCATTTCTCAACCTGAAACCCCAAACTCTGTGATAAAGCCCTGGTGCCTGAACTCTATCCCAAACCAGAAATCTCAAGCCCATCTACACCCTGACGCCTAAATCCCGACGCCCTGAACCCCAAATCCCAAACCCCTTGGACCGCCTTTCTCCGGTGTCGTCGTAACCCGTGGCCGGCGGCGTTGAGGAGTAATTAGTGTAGGGCCGGAGGCTTCTGTCAAAGCCTAGCAGCGTTTAGGGAATGGGGTTTAGGGTTTAGGGTTTAGGGTGTAGGGTTTAGGGGCGGGAACCTTAAACCCTAAACCCCTAAACCCTAATCAAGACCTACCTTTTCAAGGGCTTGAACAAGGAAGCTATTACAAGGAGCCGCGACGATCCCTCTGAAGGGGTTTAGGGTTACGTGCGGGCGACTCTTCCAGCGTGCCGTCCCTTCTAGTTGTGGGGGTTCAGACTGCCTTAAGGACCAAATTACCTGAAAAGTATGGGCCTTATGCACTGATACTAAGAATTCCTATATTATGACTCTTGTTGAGACTCCAGCCAAATTGGGCAAGCACTGAGAATCTTAATGGCCCACATATACTACCATTTCGGAATGCGGTACCAAAAAAAACATCTATGCTTTTGGTCTTGGGTACCCAATTCCACTATGATCATACCGTGTTTTGGTGTTGTCGACTGTCATCAGCCTGATTCTTCAACCCCTACAACCTCCTACAACCCTAAACCCTACGTCCTGAACTGAACTCTAGACTCTAGACCCTAAACCCTAAACCCCCTAAACCCCCTAGACCCCCTAAACCCTAAAACCCTAAACCATAAAACCCTAAACCCTAAACCCCCCAAACCCGAAAACCCTGAACCCTAAACCCCTAAACCTTAAAACCCTAAACCCCTGAAACCCTAAACCCCAAACCCCTAAACCCCCTAAAATCCTAAACCCTAAACCCCCCAAAACCCAAAACCCTAAATCCCCCTAAAACCCTAAACCCTCAACGCCCACGCCGTGAATCCGGTACTTGGAGGATCATGGGACTTAGTAAGTAGGGTTATAAGTACCTTACTTGGCGATATAAGTATAGTTACCTTAATTATGACCCTAGTTACTAAGTCCCATGATCCTTTAAGTACCCCAAACCCGACTTCGGGCAGCTCGGGCCCTTCAGGCGCCAAAAGATTCGCAGGGAGGGTTGAAAGGGTTTAGGGTTTAGGGTTTGGGGTTTCGGGCTTAAGGTTTAGGTTTTAGGGTTTAGGGTTTAGGGTTTAGGATTTAAGGGGTTAAGGGTTAAGGGTTTAGGGCCTAGCTGAAGGGTCCATGTACCCTTTAAGGGTTCCTTTAAAGGGTTCCTTCAAGGGTTCTATCAGGGTGCCAGAAGGGTTTAGGGTTCCATGTGCCCAAATAGTATATACTTTGGCGTTAAAGTAGTCCCTATATCAGTACTTTGGGGCCAATGTATATACTGTTTGGGTACATGCCTAAGGGTCCTTTCCAATATTCACGTACCTTGGTTGTGGATAGTAGTTATCTAGGTTATTCTTTTGAGAGTTATTATGATTACTAGGTACTTGGACCCTTAGGGTTAGGGCAAAGCGACCCGACAGGACGAGTTCAGAGAACCTTCACCGGAAGTCTGACTGCATACAAAGATTAGGGTTCAGGGTTTAGGGTTTAGGGTTTAGGGTCTAGGGTTCATACAAGAGTTGGCGAGAAAGTTATTCGCGGGGTTTGGCTTCAGTGAATGTACTCGCTGCATTTCCTGGCCCAAGAGGATTGATATGCTATGAACATTGCAGGCAGAGCCTAAGACGAGAAAGGATGACACTGGTATCCTCGCAGCACCCAGGGGCTGCGATCTTGCAGCAGCCGAACGAACGTACATGAGACGGACCTTAAACTCCGAACACTGCTTCTAAGCCTTGAACTCAAGGAAAGCAAACACATAGTGCAAATGCTCCCTGAATCCCAACCCCTAAACCGACTTCCCTTCATGGGCCTTGCCTTCGTGCTTGCAACGGGGACCACGAGGCCTACGCCCGCCAAGGCCTTCGATCAGGGACTCTGATGAGCTTCGGGTTTAGACTGCGGTTTAGGGTTTAGGGTTTAGGGTTTAGAGTGCCCTCAATGCGAGCTCCAAGAACTCTCTATGGCTCCTGGGTCCAAAGCGCATAGACATGAAGGCGTTTGGTGTATTCCAGCAAAAATCCCGAAGTCCTACATCCCAACAATCGATCCTAAACAGAGCCCTTATGGAATTTCATGGGGAACTTCTACAGAACTCTGATGCAACCCTAAACCCTAAACCCTAAACCTTAAACCCTAAACCCTAAACCCTAAACCCTCCGTGGACCTTGCGGAAGTTCCTTGCGTTGTAGTCCCTTCGCTCTTGCAGCTGCTGCTGCGCTGCGAAGGACTGCAAGGTCTCCTCGGAGCGAGGCTTAAGGAAAGGGGTCAGATTAGGGTTTAGGGTTTAGGGTTTAGGGGTTTAGGGGTTTAGGGGTTTAGGGTTTAGGGTTTAAGGGTTTAGGAGTTTAGGGTTTAGGGTTTAGGGTTTAGGGGGTTCAGATACCCAGAGAACCCGATACCCCTTAATTAAGGAATAGACCTTAAACTATAGGGTCCTTACTATATTATGACTTGAGGTCTATTCCTCAATTAAGGGGTATCGCGTTCTCTGGGTACCCCCTTGCTGTAAGGGTTTAGGGATTAAGGTCTCATCAGGGTTAAGGGTTTTAAAGGTCAGAAAACCGTTTGATATAAGGTGCAAAGGACCCAATCATTGGGCACTTGGGTTTACTACAATGGTTTTGTAGGTTAACTTTTTCGTGTGTGGGCATAGTTTAGTAGATACTTGGACCCTAGAGTACGTCGTTTAGGGATTCAGGGTGGGGCTTTATTTCTGGGTTTGTAAGGTGCAGGGTCATGAGGTCGATGGTTTGAGGGTTTAACGATGAAGACAGCCGACGAACAACAGTAGCTTTCTTGAAACCCGCGTGGGTTTAAGAGGTCCATATACACCACTGCTACGGAACTCGATCCCTAAAACTAGTGTCAGGATGGTCCCACCCTAAATCCTAAACCCTCAACTCTGAACCCTAAACCCTGAACCCAAAACAGTATATATATATATATATACATATATATATATATACACACATATGTATATATATATATATATACCCTCTGCGGTAACACCAGGATCGAGTCATCCTACCAAGAAACCCCAAACGCGGAACTCGGAGGGCATAATTGCGGTCCAATCATAGGGAGCTAACACTTACCCCGG